GCCCCGTATGCTACCCTTAATGTTAGACATATTACTAATCTGTAATAGTCACAAATATCATATGTATAACTAGATTGTGAGAACTACATGTATTTTGGTTGACTTTTTATTAGCTGAGAGCACGCTCTCATTCATGTAGTACAACTATAAGTTACATGTTTTTATTTAAAGATATGTATGATTCGTTTATTAATTTATTCGTCCTCTTCTTCTTCGTCACCTAAAGACAGTTAGTTAGTAACACCATTCAATAATATTTTAATAAAAATAATTGATTATAAATATAAGTACCTTTAGTAGCGCTTCGTTGACGTTTTCTCCTTACACGACCAGGACGACCACCACCTGTTAAAAAAATAATAAAAATGAATTCTATTTGTCATGTACCATTGCAGCAAAGTAATAAAATGAAAATTACCATAAGGTGAGGTAAGGGCAAAGTCAATATGCTTCTGAGAGTCAAGACTATATAAATATCATAAATAAATGAATATAAATGATCTGTGATATATATAGAAATAAGAATTGGGATATACAATTACCGAACAATAAAGCTTGGAATATCAACTATTTGTTTTCCAACACTAAATGAAAAAAAACAAACATCATTATGTGTGTAAGAGAAATTAAATGAATAATGAAAATAATTACCGAATATGACGTTGCCTAATGAGGACACGAGCGTGATGAATTGATTTGGCCAAACCCAATTTAAAAAACCTGAGTTTGTAACCTTCGTTCCAAGAAATCTTCAATTTTCAAAGCCAAGACATAGTCGAGTTTCATTTTAGTCTCATCCAAGACACCAATTCTAACAAGCCTTCGGATCAAAGCATTTCCTTCGAAAAGCCGACGAGGATCTTTATCATCTAACGTGAGTAGTTCACGTGCAGCACGACGAATATTTGAGAGTGTATAAGCTACGCGCCAGATTTCACGTTTGTTTCGAAGACCAAATTCACCGATTAAACGAAGTTCCTGATCAATTCGTTCCTTCTCAAATGGACGACGGGGAACCTTATATGTTTTTTGAACCTAATTAAAAAAAAAAACAGAAAGGGTATCGGGTAAAGCAATCCCGGGATTTTTTAATCTCAATGAGACCATAAAATCCACTATGTAAGCTTTCCCTTAATGCATATAGCAACTAAGATCCACACTTGCTACCATTATTTAGGTAGGATGAGTGGTGGATCAGACTCATGTTCGTTCGTATCCAGAGAGTTTGCTATCTCTCTCTTTATGAAACTTTCAAGAAAAAAAAAAAAAAAAAAAAACCCGAAAAATCCAAGCTAATCGAGAAAATGCAGGATACTACCTGTCCGGTCATGAACACTATTGAATTGCAATCCTTGTGTCTGTAGGAATGCTCAGAATTACAATTTCATGATAAATTTTTTCGTTGAACATAAATTCAGCTCATAAGCATTGTACCAGAGGAAACCTCAATTGAACAAAAAAAAACAAAAAAAGAAAAGAAAAAAAAAAAATAAGAAAGTTTCATTAAATACAATTCCTTGCAGCGCCTGGCATTATTTCTTAAGAACTCGAAGAAATTAAAGATATCTCGTCTGGACTTTTCAACCTTTTTTTTTTTTTTGAAAAAATTTTTTTATCTATCACATGATGTATCCAATCAAAGCTAAGATGAAAAAATTTTTAACTGATGAACTTTAACCAATGACTATTCCTCCTTTTCCACCGAGTTAATAATTAGAGCTTGCGATCTTTTTAATATAGTTAACAATGCCGCACTCTTACGGTATCCGCGCTCGTACGCGGTACATGTTCTCTCGTAAATTTCGAGAACGTGGAGCTATCAAACTTTCAACTTACCTCAAGACATATAAGGTCGGCGATATCGTTGATATAAAGGCCAACGGTGCCGTCCAAAAGGGTATGCCCCACAAGTTCTATCACGGGTATGAATTTTTATGAATTCAGCTTGATCAACTTTATTCTCAAGATATTGAATATATTTTTACAATTTAGTCGCACTGGTATCATTTATAATGTAACAAAATCTGCTGTTGGTGTTATCATTAATAAACGTGTTGGCAACCGTTACATTGAAAAACGGGTTAACGTTCGCATTGAGCATATCAAGCATTCGAAATGCAGGGATGACTTTTTACGTCGCGTTAAAGAAAATGCAATCAAGAAAAAAGAGGCTAGGGCTAAAAATGGTTTGTAATTAACTAATTGCTTAAGGCATTCATTAGTCCAAATAATGAATACATTATTATGTTTTTCGGAAAACAGAAAAGGTCAATCTCAAGAGGCAACCACTAGCTCCTCGACCTTCTCATTTTGTCTCAACCTCTAGGAATCATCCAACGAGCATCACACCTATCCCATATGATACTCTAGTCTAAATTTTTTTAAAATCCTATCGTCTTATTAGCGAATTAACTGTCATACAATTGAAAACAATCTGCCTTTTATCGTTGGGATATTGGGATATTGGAATATTGAAGCAAATGTAATGCCAAAAGAGTATATCCTGCAAAAATAGACAGATTATGAAAATAAAAATGCTCACAAACCACAAATCACTTTTTAACAGTTATTTTATGAGTTATTTTATGGTATTACACTAACAAACTTTTTTTTTTTTTTTTGTAAATAAGCAGAAAATAATTTTGTGCAAATCGATTGAGTTATTTTTGTGTGTAAAAAATGAGTAACTTGAATATATATGAAATGTACTTTGCGCGAGACAAATCTAGCATACATTTTATATGCCATATGACTTCACGCGAAGTGAAAGGGAAATTGTAGGCCTTAATAATGACATTAATTTTTTTTTAAACTTTTTATGCTTGATAAATCGCAGACCTAACAATACCTAACAATGTGAGTTATATCGTAAGTTACATGATCTCGTGTAAGTTACAAATATAAGAAACTAGCAGGTTAGCTTTGAGAATACAGGATTAATCTTGGTTTACATTAAAATAAAATACTTGCTTGACAAGTTACAAACATATAGCTTTAACGCCGGCCAGAACTGATAAATTTGGCTATTTAATAGACCGGGGTAAAATCGCCACCCAAAAAAGTTTCGGAAATCCACTGTACATTATTTTAATTTGTTACAACTAAATTACCAATTTAATAAATTTTGCTAAATACGTACGTAATACGTATAAAATTTAGGGAATTGATATTTCCACACCCCCTTTTTTGATATTTCCACACCTATGTAGATCTCTTTTTTTAAAAACTTTAATT